AAAAACTGCTGAACATGCTATTGGCATAACGATGAGAAATCTAGAAGAGAATGAAGAAAATATTCGTAAAAAAGATTATTATTTAGCTTTTCAAAGTTTTATAAATGTTTTACAAAAAATCAAAGATTATACTGAGAATGTAGCAAATCTTAAAGGCTATAAAAAATTTCTTAATGCAACAGAGGTTAGAAATAGATATGAAAAATTAACTGATGAATATAATGAGTGTATGAATGATTTAAAACTTACTTTGGCAATTGTTAATGAAAATCAAAGAAATTCGGATTCAAATAAAGTTTCAAAAGCTTTAAACGACGTTCAAACTGTAAGCATAATTATTTAAAATAATATTGTTATATTACATAAAGTTTAATTGGTTATTATCTTCGTTATTTATGTACTTTAGGCTCTCAAAAATCTCGAATCAATGACTCGATATACTAATTTTGAAATTAGTGATATGAAACAGCAAATCGATATTATAGCTCAAGATATATCTATTATAAAATCTCAGAAATTAAGTGACATTGATGCTCCTACTATCAATCCAAATGAATTGAGTGAACCTTCAAATTTTATGAAGGATGACGTTCGTGGTTCTGATAATCTTATTACGAGAAAATTTTATAAAACTTGTATAGAAGTCGCATGTAAACCTATTAGAGATCCTGATAAACTCAAAACAGAATTAGCAATACTTAAAAAATTAAGTCAATCACCATTTATTCTTCGTTTTTATGGTCTTTCAAAATTTGAAAATAATGAAATTATGATCGTTGATTGGGCTACATATGGAAATTTAAAAGAACTTTATAACAAATTTGATATCCCTTGGCGTAGGAAATTACGAATTATTCGTGATATATGTCGTGGTATAGTATTTTTACGTAGAGTAAACGTTTTTCATCATGATGTTAGATGCGAAAATGTTTTTGTAAGTATTATTTAATATAATTAATGGGTGTATTTAGTATTTTTATGAAGTATTAAGTTATTAAAAAATATTAAATTTATAGATACAAGATAATTTGGATCCAAAACTTGGAAATTTTAAATATGCCCGTGAGGCAGATGCAAATACTATGAATCTTGCTGGTTTAGTAACTGATATTCTTCGTTGGATGTCTCCTGAACTGATTAATAAATATAAGCAAGATAAATACGAAGAAAAAGTATATACATTTAATTGTGAAATGTTCAGGTATTTATCATCTAGTATTGAAAAAAATTTTAAAATCAAGAAAAATATATACTTTTTTTAATAATTAATCTTGCAATTAGTTTTGGAATGCTTATTTGGGAACTTTGTTATGATGAATTGCCTTACAAAAACTTTAAACCTAACGAAATAGTAGATCATGTTTTAGGTGGTAAACGAGAGAAGCTTTCGATTAGAAAATTTAAAAATCCTGATGATAAAGAGATTCAAAAAGAATTTACTAAAATTATTGATAAAAGTAAGAATTCAAATAAACATTGTTTTTTTAAGAGGTAAATCGCGGTTAAAGGGTATAAAAATAGCAAATTTAATAGTAAAAATTACCGGAAGTTGATATAATTTTTCTATAGGGTTGTAATGCAACTAGCTTACAATGAAAAGTTTTTTCATGCCAAGTAAACCTTCCTTGAGTTTCTAACAAAGATTATGGAACAAGTCATTCCGGTTCTAATAGTGGTAGAATTATTCAAATTGGTTCGGTAGATCGCGAGCTATTGACATTTTCTCCTTTATAACTATATGGTTTTTACATAATGCCAGAAACTTTCGGCATTCCAACATTATATGAAATTAATATTAATTTTCCGCTGATTTTTACTAAAAAATTTATACCCTTCAACTGCGATCTACAACTTAAAATTTTTTTTTAATATTGATTTCTAATTTTAAATTTTAATACTGATTTCTAATTTTAAATTTTATTTATATTTTCAATTATTAAATAGCATGGTATCATGTACCACACCAACGAATAGCTCTTACTAGTTTACAGAATATACTTGAAAATTTATCCGTAAAATATCCGATAACTAATGCACAAATATTATCAGGTAAAACACATAGGAGAGTTGGAGAAGAAGGTCCACCCGTTAACTTTGTAATGCCTGTAATGCCTCTTGATAAAGGAATTGAACTTCATAAACACAAAGATTATAAAAATGCATGGAAATGTTTTGAAGAAAATGCTAAGCTCGGTAATATAGAAGCAAAATATTGGCAAGGATATTATTATTATTATGGACATAATAATATCAAAAAAGATATAAAACGGGCAAAACAACTCTTTAAAGAAGCTGCTGATAATAATCATACTATTGCTCAATGTC